TGGCAGCCCCAGCATCAGCTCTCCCGGCAGGTCTACCTAACTGCACTGTGACCCAGTGGGAACTGATTTTGTTGTTTCTTTGTTTTGACATTGTTAGTGCTGTGTCTAAAGGCAATTTTTCCATTTGGGTAAACCAGGGACAGTTTTGAGAAAATGTGTTTAAGATAGGACTTCCCTTGTAGACCACCTGGGTTATATAATGTGTAGAGTTCAAATTTGCTACTTTTAAGGGGTGAAAAAGAGGCGTGAAGTCAGATGTCGAAGAAGTACAATGTTCCCTCACAGGCAGCAGGTCACTAGAGTTGCCTGCTGGGCTCTGTGATCAGCCGGTGGTGCCATCAGTGATTGTGAGAGTTCTTAGCCCATATCTCCTGTTGTACAGCACAGACATGGCAGAGCTGGAGCAAGCAGTTGACTTTTTCTTCACTGAGGTTCCCTATTTGCTAAGTGATTCATTTGGAAGTCAGTACCATCCTTCATGATGCCTAAACTAATGCTCTCTTTTCATTCTTATATTCTTGTCTCACTGGGACTGAAGATGCACCAAATACACACACACACACACACACACACACACACACTCCATCCCACCCCACCTCACAGTGCAGAATCTAAGCTGCATCTGGCTGGCCACCTACCAAATAAGGCCAGCTGCCTGCATGGAGGATTTCTAGGCAGAGGTCCTCACTGCTAAGATGCTTTAGGGTGCCTTTGCTTCTTGAGCAACACAATCACTGAATCTACATTCTGGCTACTGTTACAATGTGTGGACTTTATTGTTCTGCTCCTCAACATCAGTACCATGTGGCAGTTTCTAAAGTGGGGTTCAGGGGACAGCAGCTCTTCATTGTGGAGCCTGAAATCCTGTTGTCTCTTCTCATTAGAAGTGGGAGGTGGATTAAGCTATTTAGCTCCCCTGAGTTTCAATCTGAGAGAACTGTGCAGCTGAAGATAACGTTGAACTTTTGATCCTCCTGCCTCAGTCTCCCAAGTGTTTGGAATTCTATGCATGTACCACCATGCCCAGCTTGTAGGGTTTCCTGGGATCAACTGTATTGAAAAGAACTTTGTGAATTATAAGCTGTAAACTACACATAAGCACAAGGTGTTAGCACATCCAGTCTTATTGCAGAGTAGCTAGCTGCCTTTATCTTGGTTTGGTTCTCCACAGATTCAGTTATCCATGATCAATGTCAACGAGTCCAAAAATATTAAGTGGAAAAATCTCAGACATTGCAGTTCCTCAGTTGTAGTTTTCACACCATTCTGAGGCATGCAGCCAAATCTCATGCCATCCTGATTCATGCCCCTGGGTGTCAATCAGCCTTCCACCCTGTATAGATAGCTTGTTAGCCACATAGTTGGACTGGTCAGGTATTGAGGTGTTTGTTTTCAAGGAACCCCTATTTTATTTACAGTGGTTCCAAAGTACAAGAGCAGTGAGGCTGGAATTCAGGTATGCCAACATAAAGCCATACAGTGCTTTCTCCCGGTGATAAAGTCTAAGTGCTTGACTTAATGAGGCAGGAGAAAACGTATGCCTGGGAGGAAGGAAGATAAAATAGCACTAGTTCTACATTGTACCTTAAGATGCAAAAGCTATGGCCATACTATGTGATGAGCACTCACTGAGATGCAAAAGGCACTAAAGTAGTTCAGCACTGTGGCAGGCATCCACAAGGGGTTTTGGAATTAATGTTCTCCAGATTAGATGGGACTGCTATGTAGGAAAGATCATGCAGAATTAATGCTCAGGCACACCGGATCTTTGTAGAAACAGGAAGTAGGAAACTAAGCATGGTGGTGAACACTTGTAACCCCTGCAATTAGAAGACGGAGGCAGGAAGATCAGAAATTCAAGGCTAACACAAAACCTTGTTTCAAAACAAAACAAAACATACAAACAAAAAGTTAAAGTAAGCGAGGTGGCCAGTTGATTACCACCACCCACCCTCTTCTTGATGGCACAAGACCCTCAGCTTCTGAAGGGGAATTGCTGAGTGGCAGGGAACAGAGGAAACATTTCTGGACCCCACCCAATGGCAGTGTGAGGTCAGGCTGTGTCTCACCTGTGATGGCTGTACCTTCCTGTCCTCCACAAGCGGGGCAGGCTGCAGAGAACTAGAGGAGGCCAGAGGAAACAGTGGTCTCTGAGAAGCAAGGGTAGTAAGAAAGATAACTGAGGTGAGGATACACTGTACGAAGACAGACAGACAGGAAAGCAGAGAAGCACACTCTCTGCACACAGAAGAAACAGGTAAAGTTTTCACTTTACCTGCTTAGAATGAGTAGAAGGCACAGAATAGGCTTTTTTGTTTGTTTGTTTGTTTGATTTTTCGAGACAGGGTTTCTGTGTGTAGCTTTGGAGCCTGCCATACAACTAGCTCTTGTAGACCAGGCTGGTCTCAAACTCACTGCTCTTTTGTTTTTGAGATGGGGGTCTCATGTTAACCCAAACTGGTCTTGAAATTGCTATATAGTTGAGGATGAACTTTAAAATATATTTAAAAAAATCACATTTATTCATTTAGTGTGTGCACATGCATGTGCACATGGCAGATTCCTACAACAGAGCACAAGTGCTGGCCAGAGGGCAACTGTGGGATATATGTAGTTCTTTGCTTCTACTGTGTGGGCCCTGGAGATGGAACTCAGGTCATAAGGCTTGGCCTAAGTGAGCCATCTCATCAACCTGCCCTGGAACTTCTGATCCTTCTGCCGCCACCTCCCAAGTTCCAGGTGACAGGTGTGCACTATCACACTCGTTCATGTAGCACTGGGACCCAACAGAGTTGCTAGGAAGCACTCCACCAACTTGGCTACCTCCAGCTCCAGACACTGCTGGCCACAAGCGTTGGACTCATCTGTGACACTCTGAGAAAATGGAACCAAATGAATTTTGGCTTTGAATTCTTTTTGACAGCTTTGAGTCCATTAAAAATACAGTAAATGTCAGTGAGAATTTGCCACAGTATATTGTTTTGCCAAGAGGAAAATTTGTTAAATCAGTATAAACACTGTAAAATTCCCCACAAAATCATTTCACAGATTTAGTTTCCTTTAAAGAAGAAACTGGATTTATATATTTATTGTGGGGGAGGGGTGTGTACACATGCCATGGTACATGGGTGGAGGTCAGATGACAGCTTGAAGGAGTTGGCTTTTCCACCCATCATGTAGTTCCCGGGTATTTGTCTCATGTTGTCATGTTGTCAGGCTTATCAGCAAATATCTATACCCATTAAGCCATCTTGCCAGTTCTCAGTGACTTATTTTCTATGTATTATCATATAAAATATGAAACACTTTGGGGAGAAATCATGTACACACACACACACACACACACACACACACACACACACACACACACACACCATACACATATACTTTGTCCCTATGGCCAAGTCACCCTTTAGGGGCCTGATATCATCTGTATATACTATACTATTGTTTTCATCTTCTTTATTTCATATCTTGCTGGGAAGTTTTATTAGGGAAGATCATTGTAGTTATCTATTTTATTCTTACTATAAATCACATAACTATTGACACAGTATCAAACAAAGGTCAATATCGTAGGAGCAGCTACTTTTTGTCTGGAGTAAATGGTGATACATCAAGGTATGATCCTATTATTTTTGAGACACGATTTGGCTCAGGCTGGCTTTCAACTCCCCATGAAGCCCAGGCTTCCTTCCCCTAGCTCTTGGGTTCTGGGATTCCAGGTGAGTGTCACCCCACTAAACTATTCCAGTTCTAACGTAGAGAGGAAACTGGATAGGAGAGAAGATTGGGACTCACAAGTGTGACACCATGCTTGGCATCGTATCTTACTTCATTCTATTCATAGAACAAGCATACAGGACACATTTCTGTCTGTATTTTACACACAGGCTCAGAAAAATTAGCTAGTTTTGCTAAGACCCCAAACTCAACAAGGGGTAGAAACGGGATGCATTCTCTCATAGGCAATGGAGGAAAAATAGAAACAAACTACCTGGATTAAAAATATATGCTCGTCGGGCATTGGTGGTGCACGCCTTTAATCCCAGCATTTGGGAGGCAGAGGCAGGCGGATCTCTGTGAATTCGAGACCAGGCTGGTCTACAAGAGCTAGTGCCGGGACAGCCTCCAAAGCCACAGAGAAACCCCGTCTCGAAAAACCAAAAAAAAAAAAAAAAGATATGCTCATGCATCATTTGTTGGGAGGTCAAAGTGGGAGAAGAGAGAAACCCAGGCTTCTTATCTCCCGAGGCGGACCTCATCATACAGCGCTGGGACCTCATCATACAGCGCTGGGGCCTCATCATACAGCGCTGATTGGGTAAGTTTGAACATTTTCAAAGTCGAAGTACAACAAAAGAGCCAGCTAACAGACAACATAGCACTCATTACATATAATCTCTTGTATATTAAAAAAAAATGATAGCATTTTAGAAAAAGAAGAAACAGTGAATCTTTATTTTTGTGTGTTTGTTTTGTTTTTTTGAGCCAGGGTCTCATTTTGTAGCCCTGACTGTCTTGGAACTCTCTTTGTTGACCAGGCTGGTCTCAAACTCTCAGAGATCTGCCTGTCTCTACCTCCTAAGTGCTGGGACTAACGGCGTGCGCTACCACCTCTAAAAATGAGTCTTTGACTCCTGGAGACAAGCATCAGAATGCACTGGGCAGTGACATGTGATAGCAGGCAGCGGGACACATCTTTTCACCTTGGCTGTTACCTTGCTACAGTCTTCAGGGGCTCCAGTTGCTCCTCAGGTCGTTTCTGGTAACTAGACTCCAGATTTTATATTTAGGGATATCGGATATGCTACTCATGTTGTTTTTACTCTATTTGTGAGTTTTTCTAACATTATCAAGAACTACAAGTCGGTGAATCTCACAGATGGAGGAAAGAATATTTTACTACAAAGTAATGCTTTACTCAACTTGAAAGGTTAACTTTAATTAAGACAGTGATAAAAGCTCTTACAGGAAGAGTGACAAATCTTTGAAATTACCTCCACTGCTGCGGGCCATTGTCAGGGCTTCCAGAGAAGTTGCTGGGCTGATTTCGAGTTGGCAGATCATCACTTTGGCTCTGCTAATGACACTGGCTGCCTTCTTCAAGTCTTCAGTATTCAAAAGCAGATTTGCTCCAGCCACTATGACGATGATATTCTGGCCTATAAAGAAATTCTACATATTTATACCAAACCAAGCCAAGCAGAGCAGTGATATGCTGCACTGTACAGCCGTCCTCTGAAGGCATTATTCGGAACATTTTAGAAGAATTAATTTTAATATTTCCAGGACATTTGGGTTTAGCTATTGTGTTCCAAATGTATTTTTGGCAATATTTCTGTGAGATTTATAATATTCCGATTATTTTGCTTTTTAAAGGAGATAGGATCTTGCTATGTTTTCCAGGCTGGTCTTGAGCATCTAGGCTCAAGAGCTCCTCCTGCCTCACCTTCCCTAGCATGTGGACTGTGAGTACATACTACCAGACCTGACTTACTATGAAAACTCAATTATTTTACATTTATTTATTTATTTTGTGAATGTGTGTGCATGCATGTGAGTACATGTATGCCATGGGCATGCGTGTGGGTGCATGTATATCATGGGATGCATGCGGACGTGATACGATTCGGCTCTTTCCTCCTACCATGTGGGTTTCAGGGAAGCAACTCATGTCTCCAGGGATCTGCATGTGGGGACGTCTCTCCAGCCTGACAATCACTTTGAACACAATCTTATTTTCCTTACTAATATTCTTATATACAAGGACTAATAGTTGAGAAATGATGTGCAACCTATGTTTCTTTTATGTGAAATGACTAATACATGCATATGGTAAAGACTGTGAATTCTATATGATGGGTACCATATAGACGACTATTGGTAGGAATAACCCTGTAGAATCCTCAAAACAAATGCTCTACTGTATATGAACAGGTCACATATGTGCCATGTTCTTCCCCAAAGTGACCCTGTTACTCCGGGTACACTTTTTATAACTAAAAACCAGAAAATATATGAGGTATGTAATCTCTAGCTTTATTTGGTCTGTACTACACAGGCTTTGATACACTCTCAGCATCTGAACCCATTCTCTATAACCCTTATAAGCACCCACACAGGAGGGGTGGCGATGCAGCTAAATGGTGTGTGTGTGTGTGTGTGTATGCACGAGTGTGCATGAGTATGTGGGGAGGGCAGAGGAAAAACAGACGTTGTTCTTCACCAGCTACCTTTTTAAAAAAGCATTTCCTTTTGAGACAGGGTCTTTTATTGGCCTGACATTTGTCAAGTAGACTAAGGCAGTGAGTCCAGGGGATCTTCCTGTTTCTGCTGAGGGCTGGGATTGCAAGTGTGTGCTCTCATGCCCAGCTGTTTTTTTTTTTTTTTTTTTAAAATTATTCTTCTTCAATATGGGTTCTGGGAATTGAACTCAGGTGTCTGGCACTGAGAAATGAACTCATAGAGGTGTGCAGTCCAGCATTAGAGGCACAATAGTACCTGTGGCTCTGACACTTGAAATATTGCTAGTTTGAACTGAGATGCACTTTGAGTAGAAAATACACAGTGGGCTTCAAATTTAGTGCAAAGGACAGGAAGTAACTATCTCACTATTGTTTATGTGTGTTGGAAGTATGTGTGTGCTAAAGCACACGTGTGGAAGTCAGGACAACAGTGGGAGTTGCCTTTCTCTTTCTACTCTTTCTACCACATGGGTCTAGGGAACCATCTCATGGAGGCAGGCTTGGCAGCAGACATCTTTGCCTGCTGAGCCATCTCTCTGGCCCCACTAATTTTGTAAAAACGCACTGAAAAGTTTTATTTTGAAAATAAATTCAACTACATGTTGAAATGATAATATTTTGAATAGATTTGGCCAACATATATATTGTCTAAATTAAATTTACCTGTTTCCCTTTTTCTTTTAAAAACATGGTGCCTGGACAGTTTAAAAACTGCTTGTGGCTTGTCTTTTATTTCCATTGGACAGAACAGCTCTAAAGGAATGGGTTGTAGCAGGCACTTTTTAGTGCTGCAGGCTGCTCGTGCAGATCTTGTATAGACATGACCTAAAATTACCTCTCCACACAGAACAAATCCTAGCCTATCGTCTTACCACATGTGTGTTTGTTGGCCATGAGGAAAACTTAATAAAGTGTGGATGGCTTTGCACAAACTCAATCTCAGTCCTGGAAAAATGCAATGAGCCCACTTGTGGAAAGAGTACATCTCTCCTTGCTTTTCCCTAGCAGTGACCTCATTCTCTCTGCTGGAGTCAACTGTAGTATAAGGTAATACACATTTCTAGACGGGCTTTTGTGGTTGAATGACAAGCCTAAGACCAAATTGTCCACAGACAAAGACACGTGGCTAGCTCAATCATGCCTTAAACTTAACTTGCCAAAATACCACTCATCACTTTGTCTGGCACTCTTTCCCCTTCTTTTGAAGAGGCTGATTGTTCCCTTTCTCTGTATTTACTACTATTTTTAGACAGTCTCACTCTGTAGCCTAGGCTGGCCTTGAGCTCCTTGTTATCCTCCTGTGTGAGCCTCTGAGCACTAGGATAACATTTGTGCTTCCATGTCCTGCACAATCTATACCCTAGGATATTACCTTACTATAAACCAGGCTTACCATAATATGCATTCAATATATAATGTTAAATTTTGCATTGAAAATGAAGATTTTGGTTCACAGATAATGGAGAAAAACTGAAGTCATTCCTAGAACACAACATGAGGTTTAAGATCACAAATGACCTGCTTTTGACAAAAAACATTATTGACAACATAGCTTAATGTAATAAATGCACTTTCTATAGTCAGAATGAAGACTTAATTAACCTAGTGTCTTTACTATTGCAACCTTAGAATTGCTGAAGTTGAGAATAAAATGCTGTATCACCGATGTAAAATGGTCATGGGGAAGTGTACTGTAAGGGGCTGGAGACGAGGCTCCAGTTGGTCAAGTGCTTGCCTAGCATGCACCAAGCCCAGGTTTGGTCCTTAGCACTGCATGAACTGGGCATGGTGGAACATGCCTGTGATCCCAGTAACTCAAAGATGTAGGCAAGAGGGTCAGAAGTTCAAGGCCATCCTGGAATTCATGACATCTAGTCTCAAAGCAAGCAAACAAAAAACAACCAACCAAACAAACAACCCCAAACAAATTGCCTGAAATCCCAGCACTCAGAAGGCTGGACAGGATGTCACTGAGTTCAAAGCTAGCCTAGGCTACAAATAACTCCTCTTGCAAAAGTATATATGTAGTCAATATATTAAGTGGAAAATTATTAACTATTATGTGGAGATACTGCATGAATGGTTCCTAAAATGAAAAACTTAACATGTTTCAAATTGCATGCTTTTTTGAGTAGCATGATCAAATCTCACACCATCTGATTCTGTCTCACTTGGGACTCAAGTCATCTCTTTGTCCAACATAACAAGTAGATACTGCCTGTGTATTCACTGCTACCAGATAGTCACTTAAATAGCCATCTTGATGATCTAATGGACTGTTTAGATACTGTGGTTCTTGTGTTCATTGTAATCTCTACTCAGTAGCCTAATGCTACAGCAGAATGCCCTGTTCACCTCACTTGATCTCATGTGGGCACCGTGTTATCTCACTTCATCACAAGAAAGCCGAGTGCAGTAAAATAAGATCTTTTGAGATAGATTATATCGATATAACATTTATTATACTATATTGTTACAAATATTCTATTTTATTATTACTATTGTAAATCTCTTACAGTCTCTAATTTATAAACTAAACATTAATCATAGGGATATACATACAAGAAAAAACACACACAAAGAGAGAGAACAGGAATATTGGCAAAGTATTAAAATGTATTCCTCTATGGCAGTGGTTCTCAACCTGTGAGTTGCAACCCCTTTGGGTTGCATATAAGATATTTATATTATAATTCATAACAGTAGCAAAATTATAGTTATGAAGTAGCAATGAAATAATTTTATGGTGGGGGGTCACCACAATATGAGGATCTGTATTAAAGGATCACAAATTAGGGAGGTTGAGAACCACTGCTCTATGGATAAGAAAGAAACACTGTATAAATCAAAAACCTTGTAACAGACCCCAATGCACTAGGTTCTATCCTACATGCCCTGGGGCTGCCTGGTCTTTCCAAATATTGACCTTAATTTAAAATAAAAAACTCAGTGCAGATATTTTTACACTTAGAACATTTGGTAGATTATGAAATCTCAACTTTAAAGTCATTCCTGTTTTTTTTTTTTGTTTGTTTGTTTTTTGCTTGTTTGAGGCAGGGTCTCACTTTGTAGCTCTGGCTGTCCTGGAACTCTCTATGTAGACCAGGCTGGACTCAAATTCACAGAGATCAACCATTATGTCAAGCTATAGTTACTGTTTTTAAAGATAAATGTTTTAACTATGGTAAAGCCATATAGTAAAGTTGTGTACACTGACTTTTGAGTTTGGATTAAAGAGCAGACAAATTGAGTACAAGGATAAGTTAGAAGTAATTACTTGCAGGCATTTGCTCAGTAAATAATCTATAAATATGATTCATCAAACTTTATTTTACATCTGTTTACATTTATTTACTTCGTGGAAATGGCAGGTAAGCACTTGACTGTTTTGAGACACACATGTCACTTCCGAGCTCCCTCGAAGGGTAAAGGGGACATGACAGGATATAGATCATATTTGGAGGCATCTTCATGCATATCAGATGGAGTCTTGTACACATGATCAAGGTGGGGAATATGATTTAAGGGAAGTGTTTTTATATGGATTGGAAAAGTCACACCTTAGGTCATGGAGCAGTGGGCGTGGTACGAGGATGGCAGGACTAGGGTACAAGTGTTGCTTCCAGGCTAGTTCTGGAGATGAGCTGTCTGTTTCACAGTGACACTCGAATGGGAAGCACATACCTTCATCATCGACAATTATAGAAGCAGCTCCTGTTGCAGCAGCTCTGGTCTGATATGTAAATTCTACAAGAAAACCAAAATTACAATCACATAATACAGCCTGGCATGGATAATTTATTTCAACAATTTCAATGTGACACTAATTCTTGGAAACACTTTTTAACCTTCAACCATCTGGAATGAGTTAAAAAAATAAGTAATTAGTGCTAATTTATACCCATCACCTATACAATGAGGAAACCCGGCATCTTTACAGTTAGTGGAACCTTTGCATTAGCAACGACCCATCAAACTACCCACACTACTCCTTAAAATTATTCACAGTTGTATACATATGAATGTTTTAGAACAACATATTCCTTTTCTTCATTGTAAAAAAATATGACAGACTTGAGATAAAAAACAAAAGGTTAAATATCTAAAATGAACTTGTTTGATTTTCTTCATTTCCATAAGCTTTGTATTTCATCCCGAACTGTGATCTGGTATGGAAACAATCACCAGGCAGTCTCTGATAGCAGAGAGCCCTGAACTGGGGGCAGAAGACCTGTAGTCTATTCCTGGCCACAGCCCCGACTAGCTGGGTACTCTTGGAAAAAACCCAGAGCCTTCCTCACTGGTCTTTGATTTTCTTCTGTAGTTGTGCTTCAGCCTTGTTAGTTTCTGGGATGGCCTTCAGCTGTATCATTCAATGATTTCTCTTTAAACACCCTTTGTTTTTCCTTGTCACCTGCCTCATGGCCATTGAATGACGATCTGTAACCTCCTGTGACTTCATTCCCATCTGGAGGAAAGCAGCCCATAAGGCTTGTCTGGCCACTGGACAGGACCTAATCATCACGGTTGGCTTTCAGTTCTCCCCATAACAAGATCACAGAATAAAGCTATACATGATAAGCCAGGCTGCGGTGATGGCTCATGTCTGTGATCTTTGCACTCAGGAGGCTGAGGCAGGAGGATTGCCTGGAGTTTGAGGCTAGTTTAGGCTATATAGTGAATACCAGGTCAGCCAAGGCTATATAGAAAGACCCTTTCTCAAAAAAGTAAAATCAAACCAAAATAAAGTAAAATTCCTAAAGAAAATTATAACCAGGGGACTGGAGAGATGGCTCAGCAGTTAAGAAAGTTATAAACATTAAAAGAGATGAAAATTTACCTGTAGAAATGTGATTTTGTTTTAAGTTTTCTATGTAATCATTGCCAAAAGAATCTTTGCCAACCTGTACCGAAGAAATGATGAGGATTAGATCTTTTACATTTAGTAAAATGTTACAATGTAGATTTTAGAATATTTAGCATTTTAAAAGGGCATATCTGCATGGCACTTCATAAGCACTAATTAATTAATCTGAATGTAAGATGCTACACTTGACTTCAGCCCAAAGGATGTTCTGTTCTGTAACCTGTTTTACTCACATCTCACCCAACACATGAAACATGTATGTCTGTGTACCACCTGCGTGCCTGGTGCCCAAGAGGACCAGAAGGCTTCAGATCTATTGGGACAGGAGTCATAAATGGTTGCCACCTGCCCTGTGGGTGCTGGGAATTGAACTTGGGTCCCCTGAGAGAGTAGCCAGCACCCTTACTGCTGAGCAGCCCTCTGGCCCAGTATCAGTTTATTGAAGGCAAAACGACACAAGAGTTGCATACACGGCACAGGCAATGCTATGTTTTGTTGTTGGTTTTTCGAGAGAGGGTGTCTCTGTAGCTTTGGAGCCTGTTCTGTAACGTGCTTTGTAGACCAGGCTGGCCTCAAACTTACAAAGATCACAAATTCACAAAGATCTGCCTGTCTCTGCCTCCCGAAAGCTGGAATCAAAGGTGTGGGCCACCACCTCCTGCTAGTTTTTTGTAATCTGTCTTTTATAATTCTTCACCTTTAAACTTTGTATGCATTCATCATTTATTTATATTTCTGGACTTACTTTTACAAAGGTTAGGATCTCATGCTAATGTGGATGGGAAAAGCCCACAGGGCCTCATACTGCACAAAGAACTATAGGCAACTACGGAGAATGGGACAAATAGTCTTTCCCAGGGATGGTCAGCTTCAAAAACATACAAGGAACAGTATACAGATTGAGCAGGTCATATTTATGAATGTATAAATTTATACATACACATACAATGAGAAAGTCATGAATTTCAAAGAGAGCAAGGGGGATTATGGGCTATGTGATTATATTATAATCTCAACAAATGAAAGAAGTAGTTAAAATAAGCTTGAGATCTGCGAATGCCAGAGCATGTGAGCCCTCAGCAGGTGGAAGCCGGAGGAAGGACAAATTCAAGGACTTCCTGGGTTACCTACTGAGACCTACTTGTTCCCCCACCCCCAGTGTAACAAGAAGCATACACTTCCTAATCCTTTTTCTTTGTTTCTGGCTCAAACTGAAGTTATTAGAAATTGCTAAGAAGTCACAGTAGATCCTTAGAAGCGGGTTTTGTTTGTCTCCTGCAACTGAGGGCTAAATGAACATACCCTGAAAATCACAGTGAATCACGCAAATGGGCTCCTCACAAAGGAACTAGTTAGGAAACCCCGATGGGCCTAATAAAGACTATGACAAAGGATATCTGGGGGGCTCTGTTTCCCACTCAAGCTTGGTCCATCAAATTGACAAGAAAAATTTAAATGTAAGCGTCTTGGCCAGGAGGCAAATGGTGCATATGGGAGTCAGAGAACTTGGAGTCTTATTTCAGTGTTGCCATTATCAAGCTAATTAAAATTCTTTGCATTTTGCCTCAAATTGTTCCATCTGAGCCAGGCTGGAGGGGGGAACTGGTGTGAGTTCTCTCTGGCAGGCAGGAAACCAATGGTTCTACAACGCTGGCTGCACATGAACACACCCCAGGAAGGTTAGACATCCCGATAGCCTGGTCATACTCCCGTTAATCCACACCCTGCAGGTGGAGCTGCACCGGAAGGTGACTACTGTGTGTGGTTCAGGTGGAAGACCACTGGGCCTCGGGATTACAGGGCTGGGAGGGTATCGAAAAGCCCTGTGTGAGTCGAAGAGATGTAAATGAGAGTTGAAGATGAGATCAGTGGAGATCATGGAAAGCATGGCCTGCAGAATTTGTGTAGGTCACCAGGCTGGACTTGACACTGGGATGAAGATACACTACAGCAGCAGGGATTTCCCGGGCTTGTGTTTGCTGAACCTCCTCAGTTAGAAGCACTGCAGGTTTGTACCCCCCCCCCCCCCCCTTTTTTTTTTTTTTGTCTTGTCTGTTTCTATCTTTCTAAAACTCACATTTGGCCAAAAATAATTTTAGTTTTGGAGTTGTGAGTGAAAAGTCATTCTTAACTTGACTGCATTAGAACACAGTGTCCATACACTGTGTTTATTTCCATGCCTTCACTTCTGAGAACTTAGGAGTCCATTCTTCTCTCCTCCACCTACTCAAACTGTACCTGTTTTTCAAGCACCAACTTATGTCTACCTTCCTTCTTTTGGCTCTCATTAATCTGCTCATTTCCAGAACTCCTACACAGCATTCCTGATCACTGCCATAATTCAATGCCATCTTACACTGTTTGCAACTCCGTATTTGTTCATTGGGGCTTCCTAAAACTTGCAGATGCTAGCTTGAAATATATTGGCCCTTCCCACGGCCCTGCACATGGCAGGGGTCTCATTAGAATAGCATCATCTCAGGTACTCTACAGTTGATTTTCTTGGACCTATCTTATTCCTGAAGGGATGTAACCACTAGCACAGGAGTATTCTGTTATGGCTGCAGATAAGGCTTTGCTTATAACAGGTCTCTTGTCTTGAGGACACTATTCCTGCAATTGCAAACAATCTGAGGCAGTCTATCTGCGCAGCCTGTTCCAGCTGCAAGCAGGCAGTCAAGTGCAGCTTCAACAAAGATTTAAGTCAGGGCAATTCACAGGACCCAATGATCTTGCATAGAAAGGGTCTTCTGGTTATGAAGGTGTTCTCATACACTGCTGTTCAATCTCTCTTACATGGAGCTCCCACTTATGGTTTTCCTTGTTTACACAAGGATTAACAATTTATAAAATACAAAAACAATGCAATAAAAGCAAAAAACAGTATCATAAGATACAAAGCCTCATTTATTACTGCTGTTAATTCCAGGGGCTGTAAAGATCTAGCATTAAGTTGTTATAAGTCATTCTGTTTACTTCTGGTTTCTGTAATGTCTAGACCAGGGACAAGCTGAGCATAGCCTGAGGAGTAGGCTTTTGGGTTGCACTGTGCCCTTTGTCACTGGACTTCCTGCCTGGTCTTTCTGCCGAGAACTAGATGCTATCTGTATTAGAAATGAGACAATTTTACATTTGTAGGAAGCAAAACCATACCATTTCTTCAGATCACCCTAGTGTGCTGGTTCCTGGCTTGGCCACTGGGGTCCACGTCTGCTTGTAGTTTCCTTACATCAACACAGAAAAGCAGCTCAGGCTCACACTGGGTCCCTGCACCTTGAGCTTTTTTAAAACATGGTTCTTGTTGTCAGTGTTTGATGTTTCTTCTTCCTCTTCCTTTGTGTGTATGCCTGTGTCTCTGTGTGTGGGTATGTGAGGGCACACACATGTATGGGTGATCATGTATGTATGTGTGCATATGAATGTGAAGGCCAGGGGTCAACTTCTGGTGCCATCCCTTTGGAACACTATCGATGTTGTTTGAGGCGATGTCTCTTACTGGCCTGAAAGTTTCCAGTTTGGCGAGGCTGGCTGGCTAGTGAGCCCCTTGGCTCCTTCTGTCTTGGCCTCTCCAGTGCTGGGATGTACACCAGAATGCCTGTTGTTTTTTGTTTTGTTTAAAGTCAACCTAGTTTCTATGCATTAGATTAGTTCTCCATGCTTGTCACACTGCACAGGGTCTCTGTGCACAGGCTAGGGCAGCTTCACACTTGGGCTGGTTCTTCTGCATTAGCCTCCATAGTGCTGGCTGGGATTGCAGGCATTCACCAGTATTTGATGCTTAGAAAGAACTTCTTCCCCTTAAACATTTGGCTTCAATGGAATAGAAGTGGAAGCAACATACACCCAGCAGGCATAGTCTATGACAGAGCTCCCAGCAGGCTCTTTGCCTTGGGATGAAGACTTCCACCATCTCCAAATTGTCACTGGACTCTCGCCTCAGCACATAACTTAGCTGGACACCAAATACTTGACTCTTTAGAGCTCAGAGAAGCTCACTACCTGGTTGTCGCTGTATAAATATGGATATAACTCTTGCTTAGTGTTTTTGTCACAACTATCTGAACAAAAAACTTTTCCTCCCTGGTCTTTCCTGTACCGCCAACCTTCTCAGCGCAGGCTGACATCAAGAGTGTTGCAGCACAGTGGTGTATAAGTTAGTGTCACATAGAGAATGACAGGGGCTCTCTACCAGTTTTTCTTTTGCTCCATCTGTTCATTTTTATCTTGATTAATGTAATGGTTTGGGTTTTGATTTGGAACTTGTCGTCTTTAAAAAACTGCTAGAAAACAAGTGTGCTAATTTGCCTAACAAACATATATACTGCCAGCTTCGTGTGCTGGTGCACACACCTGAAACCCCAGCCTTAGAGAGAGAAGGCAGAAGGAGTTATGGGTTTTCTATACTATAGAGCAAGTTCAAGGCCAGCATGGGCATACGAAACCCTGTCTCACACAACCAAAAAGAAAAAAAAAAAAAACAACACAATACTACACAATGGAAAACTATAATGATAATGGATAACTTTCACTATAAAAGTCTATTAATCTCAGCACTTGGGAGGCAGAAGCAGGTGGATCTCTGTGAGTTCCAGGATAACCTGGTCTACAGAGTGAGCGCCATGACATCCAGGGCTACACAGAGAAACATTGTTTTGAATTCCACCCCTCCACCTCTCTCCAAAAAAAAGAATTCTAAGAGGCACACACTTATAATGCCAGCAGTCAGGAGACTGAGGCAGGAGGATTAGGATTTGGAGGCTAATATGGGCTATAAAGAGAAACCCTTTATTAATCAATTATTTTTTAAAAAAAAGGCTTCATGCTAGGAGTGAAGTTCAAAGGCAGAGGCATTCTTGGCATTTGTAAGACTCTATTCCTTCCCCAACACCAAACAATAAAATTAAGTAAGTAAATAAATGAAACAAGAAGACTAAGAATTCCACACAGCTTTCTTAATTGAAGTATTTAAATAAATCCCCACCTTAGAGTCCCAAGACACAAAAGTAAGATAATCTTGGGATAGGATTTGCTTGAAACTGGTTTTCTTATGTTCCATTGTGTAAGAGCCTAAATTGTGCCGAGCAAACATGGGATGACTAAAAGAGCATGGAAGATGCGCTCAGGTGTGGGACGAACCATCGTACACAGACCAGAGTGAACCAGACAGCCCCTCTGCTTCAACGGCCCTCACAACTGGAGCGTAGCTCCCTGACTGCCCCTGTCACCTCTCCTCAGACAGTGTTCACTTCCCATGTTCAGTTCTACAACTCAAATATTTCTTGTTTGTTTTCCTATCTTTGCCTCAAGTTCCATAGACCTAAAATAAAACCAATCTCCAAATCTTAGCATAGGATGAGATCCAGGGCACATGCAATCTTGACATAAGTGGCCACATGAATAGTTCACATAAAGCTTCCGAGAGGGGGATGATATTCCATGTCTTTTACACTCCTAGGCCCATGGAACTCCCCTTGTCCCAGGATGGCCACTTTGGATGCCTAGCTTCCCATATCAATTCTATGTCCGGCTTTTTCCAGCCAGGAAATCATATGTTCTTCCCAGTTCTTGAGTCCCCCTTTGTGAGCAATCACTGGGTCATTGCCTAGATCTCATCTAATCAAGCATAGGATAAGTCGGGTGTCAAGGTTTTTTTTTTTTTTTTGTCAGCCCTCTCTCATAGTGTCATCATTTCTGGAATATAATTATTTCTTGATTATCTGTGTTACTGTTTTAATTCCATAGGGACAATCTTAGCAACAGAAGGTTCTTATTTGGAATTTTGTGCTTCCTGTGATGTTTCTGACCAGATAGCCATGAGAATGATATGTTGGTCATAAATCAGAAATAAAGCTGCAGTGCATTAGCAGATGAAGGGGTAATTGTATAGCTTACACATCACTTAAAGGCTCCCATGGAGAGGGGACTGTGGGATGCAAGTAGAAATGACATTTCTGCAGACAGTTTTGTAAGATCAAGAGACAGCTTTTTTAAGTTTTTTTTGTGTGCTTTTCTTATCATCTGCTGTGCAGATTTAAAACCTAACTTTCCCTGTCCTTAAACTCACATAATTCCACCTTCTTATAATAGCAATGTTACCACCTTCAATGACATGAAATGTATAAAATTTGAAACTTTTGACAGCCAAATATAATTATTTTCAAATTATTTCAGTAGGATTACTGAATGTTACATACCCTTTCTCTATATTGCTGAAAACAGAAGTATGCCAAGGTATTTGTTATGTGTGGTCATTAAACCTACATCTCAGTGCCATCATCCCACCACCATTACAATATGGCGGTAGGAGATGGCTTAGTGATGAGTGGCTATGTTTCTAAGATCTGTGCTGCTGCAGTGATGCCTGCTCAGAACAGAGTGACTCAGGCCATTTAGAAGGTGGACTGTAGAAATGCAGGGCATGGTTTAGCCCCTCTCCCGTTGCACACTCTGGTCATAAACTCACTGTATTCAGGGACTGCAGCATCAGGTCACTTGAGGACTGCTGCTTCCCAGAGGATTCACCGATATAAAGCATAAGAAAGACCAATCAATGGTATCTAGATTTTGTTTTGTAATTTTTTTATTAGTTCAAATTAGGAACAAGCTTGCTTCACATGTCAATCCCTTCTCCCTCTCCCTCCCTCCCCCCCAACCATCCCAGGTATTTAGATTTTTATAAACAAACTTTTGAAAGACTTAAAAACAGGTACTCAAACAAGAACATGTGTATGCAAGCATGGGCACGGGCTATTCTGAAACAGTCAGACAGTGGAAGCAGTCCAGGCGTCTCCGTGTACTCAGTGATGGGTAAGTGAGTGACGGAGTGACGGTACCATTTGACCATTACACAGGATGTAATGCTGATATGCTACAGAATGGAGAAACCTCAAAAACAATGAAGGAAGCCAGAAGCAAAAGTTATATTTTACACAATTATGTAAAGTATCCAGAATAGATAGGCTCATAGAGACTGAATGTGATTATAGTGGTCCCAGGTTTCCAGGTGGAGGAGGAAATGGCAAGAAATTGCTTAAATGGACAAGAGGTTTTCCTTTGGAATGATGATGTCTCGTAACAGGCTAGAAGTGGTAGTTGCAAAACATTGCAGATTACTAAGTATTATTGAACTTAATATTTTTTTTTTAACTTAATATTTCTTTAGACAGGGCCTCACTATGAGGCTCAGGCTGGCCCTGAACCTATAATTACTCTTCTGCTTCATGAGTAGCTGGTACCACAGACCTGCACCACTTTCCTCAGTGAAGCATTAACTGTACAATGGTAAAGGAGAACAGAAACAATGAGCTTGAACCAGTCCCACCTGGGGCCCATCCCCTGTTTCATACTTACCTTGCACACTATGGATGCCTTCGCTCCAAGCCGAGCAGCTTGGACACACTGGTTGGCACCTTTTCCTCCAAAACCAATGAAAAACTTATGTCCGTGGATAGTTTCTCCAGTTTTTGGCAAACGCGAAGTAAGACTATTATAATTTAAAGAGAAGAAAAACAAAGCATGTTAGTAACTGCAATCAGCGTACATGCCTTAGAAGCCTGGAAAGGTTATCCATGGGTTCTGATGACTCTTAGGGAGGTTGAGCTGCCAGGAAGGTGGCCTTTCCTTTCAATTGCATCACAACAGACAGCCCAACCATCTCTTCCAGAGAATGCCTCTCTTCTCTCCATAGCCACTGCTATAGCTGCACTGCAAATGACAGCTGGTGTCTGATTGCACTGAGATTATCCATGGGATGGTTCCCTGGCTCACACCACACCAGAGCTTTATTCCCAGTAGGGCTCAGCAGGCAGGGTGAAAGTAAAGTGTATGGGCTTCTCTGGCACTTTTAGCAGAAGGTATACCATGATTCCAGTCAATTATAGGACCTATGGAGGAGAGGGAAGCAGCAATTCCCTGTATTAAAACAATCCCACTTGTTTACCGAGGATGGGATGGGAGCAGACTTTGATTCTCCAGCCTGTGTACCATGTCTTTCATGCACTATGTCAAAAAAGAACACATACTTAAGACAATGGAGCCACAAGTGCTAAGTTTAGGCTTTAACTTTTATTATGGAACATATCAATGATAAAAACTAGACCTCTCTTATCCTATTCACTCATCACTCAGATTCAATTATTATCAGTTCCCAGCTGATCTTGTTTCTGTTTCCACTGACATCTCAAGAAGCTAAACATAATCTTCACCATAACCAAGAAGCTGAGCATGGTCTTCACCATAACCAAGAAGTCAAATATAGTCTTCACCATAACCAAGAAGCTAAACACAATCCCCCTCATAATGGTATGACTAATCGTGCGTGACAGTATTACCAGAGGCAAAAATGACATGACATTTGTTCCAGGTCAGTATTTTCATCACTTTAATGACAAGATTTGAGGACACAACATTTCTGAAGGATGGAAAGAAATGACTGACTTCCAAATGGTAGGAGTTCCAAACATAGGGATAAGTGAAATGAGGTTTGGTTGCCTGGTCAAAAGAAGGGGCCAAGAGTGGCAGATGGGACCAAAGAAATGAGTCAACTTTATATGGGGAAGAAAGGCCAAGTAAGCTCACCATGGAAAGTCAGCTGAGGATCTAGGCTGTTTTAGGTGATTATAGGTTTGTGTTATATCTGAAATGATCATATTATATTAGAATAGAGTGACAGAACAATGCCAATTCCTCCAGGCCACTAACAGCCTGTTTACAGTGGGATGACGTGAACTAATGCCAGAGTGCACAGTTGTTTCAAGAAAGACCAAGATAAACCTGTGAGCCTCTCGATGTGCTTCTAAAACCATCAATAAATCAGTCAAGACTATTCCATTCCCCAGCACTGAACTGTCAAATATGGTTGAGATTCAAGAGACTCACCAATAATTTGAAAACATCCCACTCCTCCTCTTTTCAAAGCTATTTTTATCTCAGATTCTACATACATTAATAGTACTGATGAAAAAATACATCTAAAAGGTTCACTTCTGAAAAAGGTACTCAATCAAGAGAAAAATGGTTTTAATGTAATGTTATTATCCTGTCATTTAATTTAGCAATGACAGTGATGATGAGATTTTGATTTGCATCAGAAATCTTAAACATTTTAGGGTTCTGTTATGAGCAGCAGTGGTGAGTAATCCATGTGACGGAGTAATGATGTGAATTCTTGGCTAATTGACTCTGCTACAAACAACTCTCGTAAAACCTTAAAAAGAAGAATATCTAACATGGCTAAAACAGGTCTAATGACTTCATTAGCAAGACTATAGTTTGGAGAAACTTAGGACTTCTGCTCTATTTATACTTAGATCTGGGTCATGGGACACTGCTTTGACACAAGGGTCCCTTTTATTCTCAGCTGTGGGAAATAATGAGACTTCTATTGCCAGGTTATTATGGGATGTGTATGTACAGAGGGGGAGGGGGATGAAACCATGGCAGTAGCATGTATGTGCACTTGATGTGGGAGCAGATGGCTAGATTTAGAGTCATTTCTTTAAAGAAAAATTCACCTTCATTTTCATATGTATCGATGTTGTTGCCTATATATATGTCTGTGCATTGTGTACATGCACTGCCTGTGAAGGCCAGAAAGGCGTCAGATCTCCTGGGTCTGGAGTTACAGACAGTTGTGTGCCGTCATGAGGGTGCTGGGAATTGAATCGTGGTCCTCTGGAAGAACAAGCAGTGCTCTTGACCATGAAAACATATCTCCAGCCCCCTTAGAGTCATTTTAAACAAACAATATTAACACAAGGCATAGATATTAGCAAGTGTGGAATTAATTCATCAGTCACTGAAACTCACGTCTTTGGCATTTTCCTGTTTTCTTTTTTTCTTTGTTCTTCATCTTCCCTATGCCATTAGCACTTTCTCTCTCTAGTTGTTAATGTTCAGGGACAGAGAACAGGTCTGTGTCTTCTTCACTGTACCAAAGTGTCTGCCATCTAACAGAAGGGTAAGAGGTACTCACTATGTCTCTTCTCTATGTCTCCTCTGTGTTGCATTCACTTTGCTTCTGAATTGGGAGTATGAAGGTGCTGATTATGGGATGGAAATGGAAAGTAGCAGCCATGGCTATACAACTACCTAACAACAATCCCAGGTGTTGCCTTATCTTGCCCACTATACTCCAAATTTTAGCAGGATTCTTTTCTTTCTCTTTCCCCACTCCTCCCCGCCTTCTCTTTGACACACTCTCACTTAGTCCAGGCTGGCTTTGAACTCATTCTGTGGTTGAGGCTGGCCTTAAACTTCTGGGCTTCTTGCCTCTATCTCCCAAGTGCTAGAATTATAGGCATATGCCTCCATGCCTGGCTTACTTCCTTCCTTCCTTCCTTCCTTCCTTCTCTCCCTCCCTCCCTCCCTCCTTTCTACCTCACCTTTTTAAAAGATTTATTTTTGTTTTTAAAATTTATATGTGTGTATGGGCTGATGCCCTCAGAGGCCAGAAGAGGTTGTCAGATCTGCCAGAGTTACAGGTGATTGGGAGCTGCCAGATGTGGGTGTCGGGACAGCCTCTGGCCCTCTGAAAGGGTGGCAAGCATTCTTAGCCTCTGGGCCACCTCTTCGGCCTCATAATTCCTCTTCTCTAAGCAAGAATTGCAACTATATAACACAGCATTGCTTACTCATTCATACATCAATTCAGTAAGTGTTGATTTAGTGTTTGTTCCCAGATGCACTTTCTATAGGGCAGTATCATTTTGCTGACGAGGGGATAAAATCCAGCCTGATACAGGTGGTGGATGAGCGATACGTTATGGATCAATGATCACACGATCTGATTCATCTTTTACAAAGGCTGGTGACAGCTCTGTGGGAGAGCACTTTCCTAGTATGCGTGAGGCCCTGGGTTCAATCCCTAGAACCTAAAAAAGAAAAAGATGTGTGCAGGCGTGCACTGCTAACGGCCTGGGAAATGAGTAGTTTTGCTCTTTGGCATTAGGTGATGGAGCATCGTATGAGACTATCATCACACACATGGTCCATGGTTGATAGCAAACAGCTACATGCAACATGTGATTGTGCCGGGCGTTGGTGGTGCACACCTTTAATACCAGCACTCAGCAGGCAGAAGAAGCAGGCGGATCTCTGTGAGTTAGAGGTCAGCCTGGTCTCCAGAGCAAGTGCCAGGATAGGCTCCAAAGCTATTCAGAGAAACCCTGTCTCAAAAAACCAAACCAAAACAACAACAAAAAAAACCCAAAAGCAACATGTGATGTTTATGTTGCATAGGAGAGGGCAACACCAGAAAATGAGCTTTTGGCAGGCACCCACAGAGAAGGGTGGGGAGCAAAAATTTCACGTTCTGATGGTTTCTGTTTTCGGTATGGGGTTGAGCTCAAGGCCTTACACGTACTAGGCAAGCGTTCTTCAAGATTCATACTCAGTCTGAGCTCACTATATACTCCAGGTAGCACTTGAATTCTCCTGCTTTCACCGCTCAAGTAGCTAGGCCTGTACTATCAGGCCTGGCCTTCATGTTTTATATTAGATACTTACGTACCTCAGTATGAAGGGACCAGCTGCTCCTTTTGGCAGCCATGACAGTAACGCGTGCTTGCCATGACCTTGTCCTAGTCACTAGAAGTCAGATGCCTGCCTCGTGGCAAGAAACCAATCAGAAGTTAGCTGGTGGTGCTATGCTTTATGGCTCTGGGTGTGCTTGGCTCTGGGTGTGCTTTATGGACAAGCGCACAGCAATGACTCGAAGAGTATAGCAACCACCCTGGGAGGGCCTATGGGCCATAACAACCAATTGGCCAATCAACACAGGGCAAGCCCTCCAAGCCTGGAGGCACACCAATCCTGAGCCTGTGAGTACCCCTAGACACTCCTCTTACGCTGCCCTACAAGATCTCTCTCTGCAGCCGTTTCGAGCTGTCTTTGCTAGCCATCCGCCATGGCGGGTGGGTGAAAGACTCGAGCTAACATAGGGTTAGCTCGTTAAACAACTATAATAAAGCCTCTTGCAGTTTGCAGCAAGCTCTTGAATCTGCCTGGTGATTGGGGTGACCTAGGTCCTGGGCTAAGACCCTGGAAGCCTGAGTTTCCGGGGGTCTAACAAGTATATACAGTAAGGCTATTACAGTATCATGGCATATCACTTGTCATTACTTCAGGTTCATTTGTCCTTCTGGGATTATTTCCTGGTTTTCTCTTCTCTGTCTCTCTGTCTCTCTCTCCTCTTTTGAGACAGGGTTTTTTCTGTGCAGCTTTGGAGACTCTCCTGGAACTCACTCTGTAGATCAGGCTGCCTCTGCTGGGATTAAAGGCGTGAGCCACCACTTTATTTTCTAGCTTCCTGTTCTTTGTGGGTAGCAACTGGCTTCTGGCAGATACTGACTAATGGCGCCTTGTGCAGTGCTGCATTATTTCCCTCCTGAGAGCTTTTCCATTTCCTTGCTGTGATCCTTCAGGAGGTCAGAGGACTATTTGTAGGAGTCAGTTCTTTCTTTCCATTATGTGGGTTCTTAGGATTGAATTCAGGGAGTCAGGGTTAGCAGCCAGCACCTTTCCCCATGAGTTATCCACCCACCATTATCTTTGATTGGGCTCTTTCTTCCCTGCTTTGACTCTCTTGGCCCTGCCCTTGCCTTCTCCTTTGAGGGGGACCCTGCAGGTATCCAGGCAGAGAAGCAAGCTGCAAAGAAGTGAGAATGCAAACTCAGTTCAGACTGACTTCATCAACCTGGATCAGACTTGGGGAGTCTGATGCCAAGAGGTTCATTGCCAGCATATTTAGAACACAGTACAATTTGGGAAAAGGTTTCCAGGCAACAATCATGCCAATCCAGGTGTACAATAAAGTTTAAGGCATGACTACTTAGAAACTTCTTACAAAGTACATGTAACCATAAGGGTGGGTTCTATTACTAAAAGGCCTAGAATTTAATGTGATCTCTGACTGAGATAGCATAAGGCCAGCAGGCCATAAAACACATGTGACATCCTCCTAAGGATAGGTTCTATTAACTGGGAGCTAAGGATAACAGTCTAGGGAGGGAAGATCTGGATAAACATTTTGGGTAAGGTCTGTGTCCATAGCACACGGTGGGTGAGGTCTGTCTCCACAGATTGCAAAAGGTCAACAGGTTGTCAGCAATATCCATTCCCAGCCTTCTGGACAGGAAACAGATAATTCCTCCTATGAGATGTCCCTGTGTGATTAACATTCTTGGTTCCCTAGTGATCTGTGGGTACAAGGACCTTTGTGCCCACCTTCCCCCATCATAGTGCTGAATAGAGTATGTGTGTTGTTTTTGTTTTGCTTTGTTGTTTTTGAGACAGGGTTTCTCTGTGTAGCTCTGGCTGTCCTGGAACTCACTCTGTAGACCAGGCTGGCCTGGAACTCACAGAGATCCACCTGCCTCTGCCGCCCAGGGGCTGGGATTAAAAGGGGTGTGCCACCACCACCTGACTGAGTGTGCATTCTTAAACCTTTGTCTTTTCTGCTCTTGTTTAATCCAGGGTGAGATTAGAGAGAACAGAGGAGAAACTGACTGTTACCAACAGAAGTATTCCTGAACCATAAATCCTACTTTACTCTGAATTAGGCTTCCTAACTTTTCTCCTCATTCATCAGGAAGTTATGCTCAAGTGAAGAAGTATCTGCACAGGGTGCCATCCCCTGGACACAGGATGTTTCCGGGGACTTTCCTTGTGAAAAAACAGCTGCTGGAAGCGACTTAGGGGAAGCTGGTATGATGGGAGGGGCCAGTCCACCACGGTAGGGAAGATTTGGTTGCAAGGTCAGGAAGCAGGGAAAGGGGGAACTGCAGCATACAGTTGGCTTTCTCCTTTTCTCTTTTTAGTCAGTCTAGGACTCCAGCCTATATTCAGGGCGGGTCTACTTCCTTCAGTTAATTAATCCTCCCTGGAGACACCCTCACAAATGCACCCAAAGGTGCACTAAACAAATGCCCTAGGTTTATCTTAACCAGGTCAAGTTGACAATGGAGATAACTGCCACAGAAGCATTATATGGCTCCCCCTTAATTACAACACAAGGCATAGCAAAATGCCAAAGACAGATAAATTAAAATGCTGGAATTGGGGGTGGTGGGAGTGTGGGAGGAGACCAGGAAAAGGAGAAACAAGGTTGCTATCATTTACAAGTTTAAATAGCATAAACTTTTGATTCAAGGAGAAAACCCAACAAACAAAACCACGCACAAGACATATTTTAACTGAGGACAAATTCATAGCTTGCAAAATGTTGCATTTTTGAACTGGACAGAAAGGAACATGGTACACTTGCGCACAGACAGCCCTGCAGTCGTCCCTGCCACGGGAAACAGCCTGGTTAGAGTATGGTATTTGAAGCAGGAGGCCTGACCCACTTACTGATTTCATTATCTTGACAGCTCTCCCCTCTTTGAACCAGCTTCTTCTCTTGCAAAACAGTTTAATAATACTTGTCAACTCCTGAAATGCCAGGGTTTTGTGCTCAGAGTGAATTCACTGACAGGTGTTACCAGAACAACTTATCAATTGCTTTGAACTTCTTGACAATGAAGTGGCTGTTACAGGTTCTCAAGAGATTGCTTCAACCACAGGAAGGGATGACCTGGTGATAGGGAGATGACAAGTCTTCCAACCAAGAAGTCACACTAATACCTGCTTCAGCA